ATGGTCCTTGAGGTAGAAAAGGCCAAAAAACCCGACCTGGCGAACATATGTGTTGAGGCGATTGCTGAGGCGTTCGTCATTGAGACTCTGGAAAACTTATCTGACGAGGCGCTCATGGAGGCAATTATCGGCTTTGCCTTGAGGAAAGTGGCAGAAGACGACGCCAAGGCCAAAGGGTGGTTGACTGAACTGATTCCATCCGACGACGATCGTGTTTTACACGAGGATGATGACGTCGTCATCATAAAGGAAAGCGACGTCGTGCGAGCAATGGAGGAGAAGGAAGAGGAGGTAATGCAGCGCTTAGGCGAGAGACTGATAAATCATCTGGATGCTGCGGAGAAGAATAAGGCTGAGGCCGAGAATCCTCAATCTTCCACTGTGGGAGAAGCGTCGTCGTCGGGGACTAAGAAAGATGAATGAAACATGTTAAATGACAATTTCCTATGATTAATGAAATTTAATGTTTTAGTTTTACATTTTGTGAATGTGTTATTTTAACATGACATTTATTGTATCAAGTCAAAACATGTCGGAGAATGATAAATGTATGTTTAATAGGTCATGCTCGTAATTACTCTGACGTGTTACTTAATGCATTGTCTCATCTTGAGTTTGGTTAAATTTTTGGCGTCGGCACAATTTATAACTTATCCGACATCTGCAAACTCTTTATTGGAACGAGTCATAAAAGACTCGCTTTTTACATTAAGCATTTATTGTGAGCTCATCAAATCAACGTAGGGATTTGATATTATAGAGCATAAGCCTCCCCAAACCAACTTTAGGACTTGGAAGTATCCGGCTTTTGTCGCGTTTGGCCAGGTCATACCAACTTCAGGGTATGAAACACGTTTTAGCCTTAGCAACGAGGACCGATTTATTGTGGTCCGAGTGATCGAACAAATTATAGAGGTTCGTCACACAAACTTTATTGATAGCAAAATGTAGTTCTTGTACAGGAGTAGGACAAAAACTTTTTACATGTCAAGAACAGAACTTTGGTCTTCAAGCTTACTGGTAATACTTCTTCAGATGGGTTGTGTGCCAGGGATATTGAAGGAGAACACCGTCTAAAGTTTCAAGTCGGTAGGTGCCATTAGAAATCGGACGATTTACTTTAAAAGGTCCCTCCCACTTCGGTTGTAACGGGCCGACATTGGCCCCGGTGACTCTTTTCAGCACAAGGTCTCCTTTGACAAATGAGCGTGGCTTGAGTCTTGAGTTGATGTACTTTTCACTATGTCGTTTATAAGCGGCATTTCGAATTTCAGCATCAGCCCGTAACTCATCGACCAAATCGAGATTGGCTCTCAAGTTTGCCGAGTTGGTTCCTTCAGAGAAGTGAGTGACCCGATATGTTGGAGAAGCCAGTTCAACCAGTATTACAGCTTCAGTCCCGTATGCCAATGAAAACGGAGTTTCTCCAGTCGAATTTCTCGTCGTCGTCCGGTAAGACCAGAGGACATAAGGCAACTCGTCAGGCCATGACCCCTTTGCTGCTTCAAGCCGAGTTTTCAGACTATTCTTGATAATCTTATTTACGGCTTCTATCTGTCCATTTGCTTGTGGGTGATAAGGTGACGAGAAGAAGTGCTTGATGTCGTAATCTTCACAAAAGCTTTCAAATCGCTTTCCTTCAAACTGGCGACCGTTGTCGGTTATGATGGAATTCGGTACTCCAAACCGACAAACGATTGATTTCCATACAAAATCGATCATCTTTTGTTCCGTGATGGTTACAAGAGGCTCGACTTCAACCCACTTAGTAAAATAATCGGCGGCTAAAATAGCAAACCGAACACCCCCTTTCGCCGTTGGAAGTGGGCCGATCAAATCAATTCCCCATTTTGCAAACGGCCACGGGCTATATATTGACTTGAGGAGTTCAGGATGTTGATTAATGTTAGGGGCAAATATCTGGCATTTGTGGCATCGTCGCACCCAGTCTGCGGCGTCTTTCCTAATGGCAGGCCAGTAGTAGCCTTGTCGAAGAATCTTGTGGGACAAAGCTTGAGCTCCTTGGTGAGTACCGCAGACTCCTTCGTGTACTTCTTGAAGAACTCGTTGAGCGTCAATCTCTGGCAAACACTTAAGCAATGGAGTAGAGTATCCACGCTTATATAACGTTCCCTGATCAATAGTGAAATGAACAGCACGAACACGAAGAGCGCGAGCTTCTTTCGTGTCTTCAGGTAAGGCCCCGGTTTGAAGATAGTCGACGATCGGGTCCATCCACGTCGGATTTAAAGTTGGTGGGGCGGCGTCAACCATGACGACGTCGGTAGAGACTGTTGATGAGGTCGCCTGTTGAGTAATTTGCACGAACTCGACATTATTCAAGTCGGTCGATGAGGCCAAACGAGAAAGAGCATCTGCCTGAATGTTGGATGACCGAGGTATATGTTCCAACGTCATTTTAAACCGTGTCAACTTCTTCTTTACGAGATCAAAATAAGGCAATAACCGTGGTTCTTTAACTTCATAAGTACCATTGATGTGGCTGACTAATAACTGAGAGTCAGAAAATATTCGGAGAGACGAAACATTCATGGATTCAGCGAAGCATAGGCCTGATAAGAGGGCCTCATACTCGGCTTCGTTGTTGGTGGCCGGGAAGGTGAATGCTACAGAGTAGCAAAACACTTGTTGATCAGGACTAACTAAGACGATCCCTCCTCCAGCTCGCATAGCAGTGGACGATCCATCGACGTAAAGAGTCCATGTTGGATCTTCAATAGATGCACTGACGATTGGGGTAAATTCAGCAATGAAGTCAGATAATACTTGAGCTTTGATAGCGGTTCGTGGTCGGTACTGAATATCAAACTGTCCTAATTCTATCGCCCACTTAATCATTCTTCCCGACGTGTCAGGTCGGTGAAGGACTTGTCGGAGAGGGTATGTCGTAAACACAATAATTGAATGTTCCAGAAAATATGGGCGCAGCTTCCGCGCAGCGATGATCAGAGCAAAGGCTAACTTCTCCATATGTGGATATCGCAATTCAGCGTCATATAAGGCCTTGCTAACATAATATATCGGGAACTGTTGAAGCCCATCTTGTCATATAAGAATAGCACTAACAACAACGTCACTTACACCAAGGTACAAATACAGAGGCTCATCAAGAAGTGGCTTCTGCAATGTCGGTAACCGTGAGAGAACTTCTTTGATGTTGTCAAAAGCATTCTGGCATTCCATGGTCCATTCGAACGGTTTCTTCTTTTTGATAGCGTCGAAGAACGGCTTGCAATGATCTGTAGACTTTGAAATGAATCGATTGAGAGCTGCCAGTCGACCAGTTAAAGCTTGGACAACCTTGATAGACGTCGGGGGAGCCAGGTCAAGTATGGCTTGAATCTTGGCGGGATTGGCCTCGATCCCTCTCTGACTCACCATGTATCCTAAAAACTTCCCCGATCCAACTCCAAAAGTACACTTCTTGGGGTTAAGCACCATAGAATATTCTCGGAGTATATCAAAGACCTCGGAAAGATGGGCGATGTGATCAGAGGCCTGTTCCGATTTCACTAACATCTCGTCCACATAAACTTCCATCGTGTGGGCGATCAAGCGAGCAAACATCTTATTGACCAACCTTTGATACGTGGCCCCTGCATTCTTCAATCCAAAAGTCATCACGACATAACAATAGAGGCCTCGAGCTGAGTAGAACGAGGTGTGTTCAGCATTGTCAGGGTGCATGGGAATTTGGTTATAGCCGGAATAGGCATCCAAGAAACTCATAAGTTGATGTCCCGATGTAGCATCTACCATGTAATCAATGTGTGGAATGGGGTAGCTCTCTTTCGGGCACGCTTGATTCAAATCTGAAAAATCTATGCACAGACGCCAAAGGCCAGTGGCTTTCTTGACCAAGACAGGGTTCGATATCCACGTCGGGTATTTGGCTTCTTTGACGAACTTATTGTCTATGAGCTTGTTTACTTCCTCTTCAAGAGCCTTCTGGCGATCCGGGCCGAACTTCCGGCGTTTCTGGATAACGGGCTTGACAGTTTTATCCAAATTTAAGCGATGACATGCTTTTTGCGGGTCAATTCCTTTCATATCTTCATGCTTCCAAGCGAACACATCGGAGTTTGACTGGAGGAATTGAATTAAGCTTGATCGAATGGGTTCTTGAAGGTTAGCTCCAATCCGCAGTGATTTTTGCTGAGTCGATCCATGAAAAAGCCTGATCAAGGACTTCAGTTAATGTTTGATTGGAGGAATTGAATTAAGCTTGATCGAATGGGTTCTTGAATTAAGCCTGATCGAATGGGTTCTCTCTCATGAAAAAGTTGTTCTTGATCAAGGACTTCAGTTAATGTTTCAGGTAAAACCGAGGTCATAGGGATATCGGTATCCGTAAGAGGCTTGTCGGTATCTGCTCGAGGCATGTCGGTATCTGGAATGAACTGACTGGTTCTTTCAGCATTAAAAGTTGAATTGTTCAGCTCAACGAAGTTATCAGCACCCTGTTCTTCAATCATATGAAAGCTACTCGAGGTTGAGAGCAACATCAGACTTCGGGCTTCTCGTTGATCTCCGTAATGAGTGTCTTCCCCTTCAATGGTGGGGAACTTCAGAGCATAATGAAAAATTGACACAGCAGCATGAAGTTTGTAAAGTGCAGTTCGTCTTATTACGGCATTGTACTCGTTCTGGACATCCAAGACTTTGAAGGTCTCCATAATGATCTTGGATTTTGGTCCAAAGCCGCCAAACCGAATGGGGAGTAGTATTTCGCCGACAGGACAAGAAATGCTTCCGTTGAAACCTTGAATCTGGTCGTTGCAAGGCCTAATGTCCGCCGGGTCCAAACCCAATTTTTTGAACGTGCGAAGCATCAAAATACTTGAGTAAGCTCTTGTGTCGACCAAAATCCGATGAACAGGAATCCCCCCTATCGGAGCCGTTATAATAAGAGCATCGGAATGAGGATGAGCAAATAAATTGGCATCTTCGATACTGAATGTGATAGGACAATTCCGTTTGTTGATGGTATCTCGAAGATCAACGTTCATGACTCGTTTCTCGGCATTCTGTGCCTCCCGGGCATAGGCTTTGACTTTTCGTCGAGAAGTATCTAACTGCTTGTTATTGGAATTGACTCGAGGTATGCAGTGTGAAGAGTCTAAGGTGTCATGTATCCTGGACTTCCTGCAGTTATCAGTCGGGGTTCCGACATGAGTAGAAAACGCGAAAACCTCCTTATCGTTTGCGCGAGCTCTTTTCTGGTTAACAGGTCGGTTATCATCCTCTTCATCATCCGAAAGATCCAAGGGCCTTCCTTTCCGGCGATTATCAAAGTTTCGAAACTTTTGAAGCTGAGGTTGTCCAATTAACCGTAAGAGTGCTGATAAAAGGCCGAGACACTCATCGGTATTATGCCCCGGAGATTTATGATACGCGCAGTATCGAGTTTTGTCCAGCTTGTCTTCAGGGGTTCTCACAGGCCTCGGGTCTGGAATAATCCCTTTTCCTTTTAGTTCTTCATATATAGTGGCTGCTCCGGCGGAATAAACGACATGATAGCCTGTCTTGACGTTGTCTGAATACTGATCACGAGCAGCCCGAGACTCTGGAGTATTTTCATATCCTTTGGAGGAGTTCCGAAACTGTGCTTTCCCAAAATTCTTCTTATGCTTCTTTTTGGCGTCCGGTTCAGTCTTGCTTTCTTTCACCGAGAAGTCGAAACTGAGAACCGACATTGATTCTTCGGCAATAATGAATTGTTGAGCTCGCACAAGAAATTCTTGAAACGTGGCAGGTTTATTTTGACACAAGGTCCAACGAAACATTGAGTTGGGCTTCAGTCCAGCAATGGCAGTTACTAACAAGGTTTCAGGGTGACAAGGCTCCATGTTCTGAATTCGGTCGTTGAACCGAGACACGTAGTCTTTAACAGTCTCGTCATCCTTTTGCACAATGTTGGTAATTGATTCTTTCGGAATGAGACAAATTTGAGCACCAATAAAGTGCGATCGGAAGGCTGCGCGTAACTGTTGCCATTTCCAAATTGAATGAGGTGGGAGAGTATAGTACCATTTTTGTGCTCGTGGCCCCAGTGTAAGTGTAACGCCCTCAAAATACTCTTATTATTATGGAAAATATTCTTAGATTATTTTCGAAAACTAAGTGCGGAAGCGTAGGTCAAAATTTCACAAATAGAACGCGTAGAATTT